GCTTTAATTTAATTTGATTTCTTTGCAATACGATGTCTGCATTGCATAGTTTGTCCACCAGAAGGTGCTGCTAACGGATTTAACTTTTAAAGTTTTTGACTCTCAAATATCAGTATTCATCTCAGAAACCCAGTACCAGTCTGGTTCTGCGTCTTCGTCCACACAACACACCTGCATCGCATTATTTGCTTCCACTAAAACACACAGTCTCGGGTTTGTTTTCGCACCAGGTAGACACCAGCAGCTAAAGGATTGTAAACACCTACCAAATGTTGGGTAATGCTCCAATCTGTACATATTCTTCATTCTGTTCCAGGTTGCCGACCGCGGACAGAGCTGACAGGAGTTTGGCACCGAGGGGCGTACGAGGGTCCGGCGCTCACCTCCTCTTTCTCCGGGACGCTGCAGAATCGCTCAGCGGTGTGAACACCAGAAGGCTGCTCTACGGCCAAGGCCAACTGGCGAGGTTTAGAGCGCAGCAGTTCTGTTCATTGGAGTCTAAAGCAATAGCTGGTGCGTGTGAGCCACTGACTAGACAAGCTGTTCACAGTGAGATAATGCCGTTGACTACATTGTTGCTGCAGTAAGACAGAGAACATAAACGACAGGTAATGAGAAATGTGAAAAGAGGTAATTCATGGATCAAGGCCGCACCTCCAGCCGTGTTTAAGAACCCGAGCCGCTGTGTTTAAGTTAGAGCCTGTTTGTGTAGGTGTGTGTAAGCATGAGTTCATGTATGTTTAGTCTGAAGTCACGATCTGGTTGTGAAGAGTTTAGACTGGAGATACATGAGTGATGTTCCTCCACAAATCTGGCCTGTAATGAAACTGGAAAGGGTAGAACTCTCAGGGCATTTCTATATGTGTGAATGACTGTCTGCTGTGCAGGCAAATGCTAAAAGCAAATCTTTTCTTTTTTGTTTTTTAGGGAAAATATTTGATTTGTTCATGTGACAATAAAAAGTTTTTTTTAAACATACATATATGGCTTTTCTTTGAGCATGTTCCATCACTGAAGTGCTGTGTAGCTCTTGTCAGTTATACATCCATCCATCCATATATACCCCTTAATCCTCACTAGGGTCGTGGGGGGCTGGAGTCTATCCCAGCTGACTCAGGGTGAAGGCAGGGGACACCCTGGACAGGTCACCAGTCTATCACAGGGCTACACTTAGAGACAGACAACCAAGCACACTCACATTCACACCTACTGACAATTTAGAATCACCAATTAACCTCAACATGTTTTTGGACTGTGTGGGAGGAAGCCGGAGAACCCGGAGAGAACCCACGCTGCACGGGGAGAACATGCAAACTCCACACAGAAAGATCCCGGGTGTCCTCGCCGACCTTCTTGCTGTGTGGCAACAGTGCTAACCACCGAGCACCTTGCAGCCCAAGTCAGTTATACAGATTTTTTTAAATATACCAAAACCAGATGGTCGTATGAATTAAACACTGGTTGCACAATACTTTCATATTAAAAAATAAATAAATCCAGGTACATTTGTTTGTTGACAAAAGGAGGTTAGATTTCCACAGCGTACAAATCTGCGATGCTACACTTTCATTTTCTCTCTAAGAAGTCAGCTGTTTGCCTGCAGCCTTTGCTAATCTAAAAAACAACATCTTTTTAACTATACAGATGTTTTTTTTCCACTGACATTGAATATCTTGTGTCCAACATGGACTCTATCAATCTATAAGAATATTCCACAGTGGTAACACCCAACATCCAGAATCTATTGTAATACATAAAAATCACCTCCCATTTAGTTAAATCACTAAACTGAGATCTACATCAATCAATCCAGTGATCACTCCAACGGTTCACCCAGATGTTTAAAGACTACAAAACAAATTCATGATAAAAGAAAAAAAAAAAGAACAGTGACAACATGAATGATGTCAAAAATAGTTTTTAATTCACAAAAATGTAAACATACATACATGCATTTGTTGACCAGGTCCAGTGGGAGTCAACCAGTTCCATAAATGATGTGTTCTTACAATTATAAACCAAATACAAAAGGACAGTCATTCTCCATCTTTACAAACAATGAAACACAAGAAGCTCTACACACAGAATAAAGTGACAGCACTTATGAGCATTTTATCATTTACTCAGCACCGTCCCAGTGCTGTATGCTTTTCATACCAGGATATTGTAGCACAAACAGTAATTTTCAAAGACGACCGGCATTTGGTTTTCCTTTCCTTCGAACCTACGTCAGCATGTGTAGCGTGAAGGATTTATATTGTGAGGCAATTACATGAGTGGGAGGACTCTGACACGTTGTACGAGCTGCTGCTTCTTTGCTGTGTGATCTGTCACTGCTCAAGTGTCCTTGTGGGCCTTGCAGTTGTGTTATGTGTTTGTGTGTGTGTGTGTGTGTGTACGTATAATTGTAGCCTCGCCACATAATCTGTCCTCGCTGTGTTGTTTTGACACACTCCTGTCATTGTACAGCAGCATATCTACACAAGAGCGTGGCAATTTGTCATTCTGCAAACGTGCTTTGGAAAAACCCCAATGCGAAGATGAACCCACTGCTGCGTTACTCTGTGTGTGTGTGTGTGTGTGTGTGTGTGTGTGTGTTGAGCTCTCACCTGTTTCAGAGTGAGTGAGTGAGCGAGCGTGTGTGTGTGTGCGCGCTCTGCTCGCTTCACAGCATGGCTTCATGCCTAATGCATATGTGTTATTGTGTTTTGAAGCTCCTTGATCCTGAGATGAACTCTGTCGTTTGATAAGCAGCTTCCTTCACTTAGTCTGAGCTCCAGTGAGCTGAGAACACATGCTGCTTCATCAAGCAGACCAGAATGATGCACCACCTGGACCGACACACACACACACACACACAAAGACAAAAAGTCATTGCCTGTGACAGGGCCAAAAGCTTTAAAAGGAAAGGCGAAGCGCTGCTGCTCACATTTTCTCAAAAAGAAAATGGAGTTATTATGTGGGATGTATTATGATAGAAAATTCAACAGCACACCAGAAGAACAAAGTCTGTGCAACTCAATGTAGAAGACAGTTTGTTTTTTATGTCATGAACCACCCAAACACAACACAATCATATGATGTATGCATACTGCTCTGCATCACACGTTACATTTATTCAGGCTCTGCATATTAAAAGCAGAAACACTACACTGGTTGCTTTCACCTTAATGGAACCTTTCATGTACATCACACACTTTATATAAAACATGTTTCTCCTGAGTTGACCCGGGAGTGAAACACTTCTGTCAAGATCAAGATCCATTTAGGTGTTTTGTTGCTGTGTCTGTGGCTCAGGTGTTCAGGTCAGCAGTTGAGTCTTGGTTTCCTTCTGTCCACATGTCTACATGTGAATGAAAGGTCAGCTGTGAAGCTGTTCCTGCTGTTAGAGAAGCACCGTGTAAGTGCAGTCCATTTTCCATCTCAAATTTAAGCCCAGATACAGCGTGTGAAAGGAGGAAAGGAAATTTAACCATCTGCAGTCGCACACTGTGGAAGATTGTGTGATACTCTATAAAATGGACCTTGTGATGAGATGTTTTTGTCAAAACTGTCTCCAAGGTCAAGAAGGAACTTCCAGTCAGAAGTATTTATAAATTATTCTGAAGCAGAACAAAATGTGCAGTGACTCATCGTGGGTATGACTGTTTAAGCACGGGACGCGTTTGAAAATGTTTGAAAACAGATTTTAAGGGGAAAAAAACAGACTCACCGTCTGTAAATCCTCTGCTGAGGCACTCAGTGGTAGCTGGCAGAAAACAGCAAAATGAACTAAGAGGCTGAGGGTCAGTGACGGAGCCAGCGATGGCGGCTGAGGTTGTGATGACAGCAGGGTGACCAACGCCTGCAGGCGCTCACGGGGACGAGGACGAGCTGAGGACAGCGAGTGTAAGTGTTCCCAGGCTTCTCTGGCCCGTACCTGGAAACCAACAGAGCACGGAAACGATTCAACAAACGAGGCATTGCTTTTGTCATGCAAATAAAGATCAATAAACCAGTAATTCACAAATGAAAGAGGAAGACAACCTAATGCAGGGTGAACACATATTTGTAATGGCGGAGATGGCGGTGACAAGAGCAAGTCTCCCAGGGTTATGAGAGGAGGCGGACAAGCCGGAGACAGAGAGACGAAACTCAGGCCAGCTGGCCAGACGCTCGCTGAGAAATCAATACTACATCACCCTTTTCACCCAGCTCCTCTCCCTCATCTATATCCCTCTCTCCTCACCACTGTCTCACTCGCTCCCTCTCAGATAGGGGCCATCCATAATTTATTCTTTAATGCGCTATTCTTCTTTTTCTGTATTGGTTCTATGGCTTTTAATGACAACACACCTGCCTGGAGCACATAACAGACCATCCACATCGCTCCGCTGCTGAGTTACGATGCTGCACATTCTAAAGACAGACTGACTGAGATTTCATCCAAACCAGGTTCTTCTCTTGTCAGAGCAGACAAACCTGAGGACTCCAGGACAGCGTTTTGCTTTACATTTAGCTCCAGCGGTGTTGATAATGCAGGAGCAATAATTAAACATGGTTCTAACATTACAAGACTCAGTCCAGGTCGCCGCTGTGAGGCTGTGATTGGGCAGAAGTATATCTCACCATGGTCCCTGCTGGTCTTCTTAGTTTAGTGTATCAGCAAGGTAACATTATTACTAGCATGAAATGCGAAATACAACTGATGGGACTGTTAATACTTTTATATTTGTTTAGAAACCAAAGTACTGGATGATGGTGGAAGTTATTTTTACTCATCGTGTGGGAAACGTAGATGCTGCACCATATTTTATAGTAATCCATGCAATACTTCCTGTAATATGTCATTCAGACTCAAAGTGGTAGACCGACATGGTCACAGCATGGCTAAGAAAAAACTGGAAAAACCGTAAATTATTTATTCTTCGACAATGATCTCACCAGCTGTACAGCTCTGTGGTGCCACCTGTTGGTGGGGTGATGGTAGAAGGTCAGCAGCCACAGAAGGGGACCACAGTCCTCAGGCTGCGATGTGACCAGCAGCTGGACGGCCACCTGCACCCAGTGGGCGCACCGAACCAGCAGGAACCAGGCCTCAAACACCGCGCAGTGCCTCCTAGAGGACAGAGAGATACAACAACACTCAACACAACAGGTACAGAGATGCCTCAACACTTGGTTCCTGCTCAATATCTTTGGATCTGAGGGTTTTCTGTGCTACTGCAGTGGAAGTGCATCGACGGATCACACTGCAGCACAGCAGAGGACCGAAACGCATCAGCATGTGCTGCAGTTTAAAAAGAATGGGACACCAAAAATCATCAATTACCTAAGAGAAATATAGTCACACGATGAGCGAAATAAGCGCTCAACGCCATGGCTGAGCTGGTGTGCTTGAGCTGCAGCGAGTGGTGGTAGTAGTAGTAGTGGGGTGGCATGGAGAAAACTTCTAAATATTTAAGTCTGAGGAGGTTTAATCAGTGACTTTAGAGGGACTCTTTCAGTGGAACAAACTTCAGGAGACTTTATACTTCTTTGTTTAGCAGTTTAATTCTTATCCACTAAACTAAACAAAGCTAAACTACTATGTGACAAAAACTTGCGGCTGTGATTGTGGCTTAGAACCAAGCGAGTTGACCTCGTAAGATTGTTGTTGGCAGAAGTTTGTAATGGTGGGTTACAAACAAAGAGCTGGAAGCCTGTGACACGAGTAGTGCTGTAAACAGGTTTTAATATCCATAAACCACGATGATTTGAGTGGTTTGATTTAGTTCTTTATTAGCCTGGCGCTTAAACCATCCTGGTCTTGGATTTTCCAAACCATATGTGAACATTTCCAACTTTCTCTGTCTAAATATTCCAAACTACTGCTGAAAATACTACTGATAACTGCCCAACAGTTTCTATACACCAGCTGATGTCCAACCACTTAAAACAGGCCATAAACAAAAGTACGGTAGACATCTTTGGAAGCATTTTGACAAACCTACACGATTGGTTTCTGTTTCATAGATGTACAGCTAAGTTAAACTAAAACAATCTTGATTTCATTTGTGATAACACGCTGTCTGGGGTCGTTTCCATCATACAAGCTTTGCTAATGAAGCACATCTGAGAGGCTGCCAGTAATATTAGTCCCACCCCCACTGACAGGAACAACGGATGATTAAAGAGAGACTGACTCAGAATTCTACTGGATTTCATTATTGTGACATCACACGGAGGATATTTCATCAAATTAAAAACAAACAATGAAACAGCGGTGATTAGCACGAGCATCAATGACACCTCAAGCTCTAAAATTCCCCAAAAATCTAGACGAGCTTCAGTTTTCCATATTAGAATTTCGTCAAGTTCAAGTTGTAGAAAAAGCTTTAACACAGCAGAACACAATCCTGACAGAAACAAATACGAGGTGGCAGCAGCACAGAAAGATTTCACTCTTTGTCGTATCTCATGTGATAGAGAACGGAACATCTCTTGATCTCGGATTGATGTACAATTCAAGCTTGGAGTGGGGAACTGTGACGGGCGTTTTTCTGTATTTGTAGAGTTGCAGCCATAAAAGAAAAGAAAGAGCAAGACACGAGTGTCATGAATTACTGTTGAATTGTAAAAGAGAAAGCAGGATCACGGGATAAAGTGAGATTGCTGCGACAGAGTGAGCACAGCTACTGCAACTTGAAGCTAGAAGAGCAACAAGGATCTCTCTCCCCTAATACTATCATTTAGACCTCTCCTCCTCATCTCACCTCATTCCTCCCGGCTTCAAAATACAAACAGCAGTCTGCAGGGCTCTGGCAGCTGCAACTTTGCTCGGAGCAACACAACTTTCCCACCGCTGGCCCGGAGCTGTGTTTTGGGAATTTTGCATGGAGCGGTGGAGGATAATGGGCCCCGTTAAAAAACCCGCAGCTGGAGGGTATCGAGTCAACCGTCTTGACTGCTTTTCATCTCCCATTTACCTCTTCTCTAAATCTGCCTCAATTAAGGCTGCTGACTTCCCTGCTTTTCTCTATTTCATATGAAAATGGCATCATCTACTTTCTGCCCGCTTCTCACTCTTACTGGGCTTTCCAACACTTCTTGTTTTTTTTCTCCACAATTCTTTTCTTTCCCAAGTTAATAGCCTCTAATGAATGCTTGGAGGAGCCACGCAGTGCTCCAGGACCTCTCTCTGCTGTGATGCAAGGGAAAAATATCTGAGTAACCACCCCCTCAACAGCAACTAATGGAAATAAGAACAGCACACAGGCACGCAGGAGGGTGGTGGAATCAGACGCGCACATTAACACGTTCTCTCGGAGAGCCTTTTCTCGCTCTAACCTGGTGCTTCTGCCGTCTCCCTCCTCTTCCTCCTCTGTCAGTCTCTGTAATGAGCCGCTGAGCCAGTTCAGGTGGTTTCTCCAAGACTCCTGCGGCATCTCTGCAGGAAGAGATTCAGATATACCTACATAATGATTACTCGTAGCACGAATATGCACTTTTTTATTTTTTCTACATATATGCCAGCTGTCAAAATTAAAGTTCAAGATTAGAAGAAGTACATTTATTCCCTACCTTTCCCAGAGTTAGATAACTGACACCAGTGTCATGGTGTGTGGCAAAAACGGAGCAACAACTAGCTTTGATTCAAAACGTAGCTCAAGCGTGTAACACCACAGATTTAATATTTACACAAGAGCTGCAATTATTTTCATGATTGAAATAATTTGCCTGTTATTTTCTAGATTAGCTGATCGTTTGGTTTATCGAATATTAAAGTTTCCCAGAGTGTAAGGTGGCATCTCGGCGTCGCTTTGTTCTCTGCTCTCATTGAAGACTAAGAAAACAAGCAAATATTCACACAGGAGCCGGCGAGCGCGAGCTTGTTTGGGCTTTATTTTATCCCTTGGCTTTTGCGCGTACTAAACAAAGGCGATACAACATGTTAATCAGGGGAGATTTAGAGGTGCTGCTAGGTGGATTTTTCTACCTTTGGATAGACTACAGCTACTTGTTTCCTCATGTTCCCTGGTCTTTATACTAATCTAAGCTTAGCCAGCTGCTGACTGTGACTTCAGATTTGCTGTACAGATGTGAGAGCAGTTTTGATTTTCTCATCTAACTAGTGGCAAGAAAGACATTGAAATGGTTTGTTCTTACATTTAGCAGCAGAATTCTTTCAAATCACAAGCAGAAAGTAACTGACGTACACAGTGCATCATAAGTCGTGTGAAATATCTTATATAGAGGACTTCTTTGAAATATCAGGGAAATGCATTTTCCAAAAAGAACTGGATCAACTGCAATTACTGTCTCCTGTTTTCCAGCAATTACGTTTAACTGCTTTTATGGCCAGAGCGGTGTTTGTCACAGGCCACATTCTGGAAAATAACTTTCCCACCACAAGCCAAATTTTGCACGTAACCGACACCTCAGGTTGACGGACAAACTTTCGCGAAATGTTTCAAATGCTTGACATCTGGATCCAGGTCTTTCCTCCTGGCGATGTTTTAACAATGCAATGCTAAATTTTAATTTATGGCGCCTTCGGAGGTGGGGGGGAGGGGGCACAAACTGTGATAAAACCTCAAATCTTCTACTTTTTCACAGTACCATTTCCATTCAGTCCCCGGTGAAAAATTGCCCTTCACCGCACACATGCACACACACTCACACTCACGCAGTAATAATTAACTCGGAGTCCTGGCTTGGCTCCAACGTGTCCCTAAATGGCTCCATTCATGTAAATCATTCCTGCCTACAGGCCAGTCTGGGCACACGCTGATAAGCAACACTCCACTGTGCTCCTGCACTCACCTACTGTGCATCACTTTAAAAGTAAAGATTCCCATACATAAACACTGCTAATTACATATTCAGTATTGATATCACAGATTCTTATTAAGTAGACTAAATAAAAACGGCCTCTTAAGATGACCAATGGTTTCACTGACTGAAAACAAAAGCAGCTTTTACAAAAACCAAACACTCATTCAACCTCTGTATAGATTTCATGTAAGCGATGACACATTGCTTATTTTGACAGCACATAAGCTTCACTTCCTCCCCGCATGATGTCAGCTTAATACAGTTATTAACTATTATCGATCAGACGAGAACAAGAGCTCATTCATTCAGCAGCAGCGAAACTGTTTACACAGTGTTAAAGAATACCCGAACGCGCTCTCGCTCACAGCATAGGCTTTTGTGCATTGTAGTGGAGCGAATGCAAAAATGCACACGCAGCACGTCTTCGCACTGACCTGACGGCACAGTCGAGAGGGGGACCAGCAGACTCGGAGGTGACTGTGGGAAGAAGGCCTTCAAAGGAACGCTCGTCTGAAACGGCACAAAGCACAATTTTTCCTGAGCTTCATCAATGTAAATCACACTCGCCTTCAACTCATACATCACTGTGCTCCCAAAGCCTGAAAAATGACATTTTCAATGGGAGGCTGTGTAACATTGATACAGTAGGTGCTAATGTGTAATGTAGCGTGTAATAGGCAGCGTTTAGTGCAGTGTGACTATAGACATTAATAGCGAGGCTACTGTAAATGCACTGTAGCACTGCCACCTACTGGTTAATAGAGGTGCAAAGGAATAAACCGTATTCACAAAGCTGTGCAACAGATAATATATCATACCAACATAGTAAAACATCTGTTTTCTGCCCCTTTGACAGTAATGGCTAACATGTAAGTGTCAGATAATTCCCTACAGCCACACTACAGAATGCGTGGATGGATGACGCCCCATAAAGTAGCCGAGGATCTATGGGAGCTGAAGGCTGAGAGTTTTAGCAAAAGTTGAAAAGTACATAGTGACACATGAGTGCAACAACTCACCGCGGTTTCCACACGTTGCAGGCAATTTATCTGTGCAAAGTTATTACCTGCAAGCTAATGATGTGCATTTACTTTCCGTGAGGTGTGAACTGCGGTGCGTGTAGTGTGAGCAGCAGGTTTCCAGCTGGAGATCAAGTGAAAATGATGCGGAGTATTCATCAAGTGTTAAGTGATTTTGCCTGCAGAGGGGAGGTAATTGTTCATCTCCCCGTGTGTGGATGGAAGCCTTTGATGTAAAAGTACCCATTCTTTATTTTTCGGCCGAGATGGCGGATAAGACTCACGAGACGTCTGTTGGAAAGTTCAGAATTTGTTACAGTGGGTGAAGTAAGTTCCCAAATTCTGTGAAGGCACATGTTTAAATACCTAAAATGATCAGCATTATCCTTAAAACTGTAGCATCCTGATGAAAACAGTTATCCAAATGTCCCCAAAATGTTTACACATGGGGTGAACATGCCTAATGGAGTGTCTCTGCTGCTTGTATCGACTCCGACCGAAATATTCTGGCCTCCATCACCTAAAACCGAAGCTGTGCCTAACGCAGCGTAGCGGTGGACTGTAGAGACAATAAAACATGGATTTTTATTGTTTCTCTCCACATAATGATCATTTCACGAAACGTAAAACTTTATTTTGCAAGAGTCAAAAAAATTTGTTGATAACCGACCGACATAAAATTCATCTGCTCCAAGTCCAATAATCAAGTAACTGCTATGACTTTTAAAATGAAAATGCAAAAATATGCTTGTTTTATCATTTATAGTAAGGATATTTGCTGCTTTTCTTAATTTCACATGATAGTAAACTGAGTCGCTCGGGGTTTTGGACTGATGGTTGGAACAAACGAGAAATTTAAATATGTAAATTTGCACTTTGGGGAACTAGAACGTGCATCATCGGCTATATTCTATTATTTCATGAACTAATGATTAATCAATTAACCAGCAAAAAATAGGCGATTTAATTTCAGATGTGAGAGTCGATATTCATGTGAGATTTTCAGGTCTTTTTAAATAACAAGGCCTACCTGGGGCTGCAGCAGTGCCAGCTCCCGCAGGAAACACCTGGTAAAGGTTTGGATAAGTGACTTAATAGACTCATTTCCTTCAGCTTGCTTAAGGATGGACCTGCCAGAGACACACACACACAATTCTGGTGTATTCCATCACAACGTATTAAGAGAATCTGCAAATAAACATATAGAAATACATATTTCAAAAGCAAAAAAAAAAAGACAAAAAGTCACTTTAAATTAAATGTCGCTTTAAAAGCAAAAAAGAAAGAAAGAAAGAAAAAATAATTTAAAAAATACTTAAAAAATAATTTAAAAAAATAAAAATAATTTAAAAAAATAAAGAAATTAAAAAAATAAAATAATAATAATAAATAAAGTATTATTATTTTTATTCTTCTTTTTATTTCCACTTTTATTTTTTTTATTCTTTTATTGATTTATTTTTTTAATCTGGCACTCTCACTATTCCATATCATCAAGCTCATATATATTACATCAACTACAAAAACAGTCGCACACATGAATGTCGCGGCGACCTCGACATGACGCACCAGTCCAACACTCACCTGAAGATGTCATTCACAACCAGGAACATGGAGCTGTGTTGAGCACAAGCTTTAGGCTGAAACACACAAAATACAAATCATACAGCTTCATAGATACTAAGATCAAACACAAACAATGCACAAAGGACTGAAAATACAGATGATAATGAATTAAAAAAGATCGTATTTCACTAAAACGGCTTAGAGAGGATGATAGAATATGAACCACTGGGTGTCACTGTTGCATCATCTAGAAACCTCCCGCTCTTTCGCCTCGGTTCATCCCTGTTCTCACTCCTTCCCCATTAAACACTCAGTTTACCACTCTGTCAGTCGTTCCTTCACACACCCACAGACTCACTTACTTTCTCATCTCCTCCTAATGCACACTCATCATGTGTTTTAGATTTAACACATTCTAAAACGCCCCAGCGCAAACATTTAACAGCTGTACTGTTCATATCTTCTAGTCCCTAATTACCCCCCTCGCCTCCACCAACACCCCACTTATATAAGGACATGTGCTTCACTATAGGAGGAGGACATGCCGCCTACCTTACAGGCTTTACTCCTACACAAATAAGTGACACGGTAGACAACAAACAAGTTTTTTTTTAATGCATTTGATTTACTCACAGCCAATTAAAAAGCTGCCTTTTGTGTCAACAGTGCAAAATATAAATGGCATATTGGTGGACTGTAATGGTAAATATGTACCAATATTCTCCAATCTGTTTGAGGCTGAAGGCATTTTCCCTCCAGTCCAGACACACTTCTACCTGCACAAGGGCCAGAGAGTAATTACAATCATTGCAAAATGAAACAGCCCCACCAAGTGTCCGTATGGCGTCATTACAACGTCAAAAAATCGAAAGCAGCTGCTTTTATCTTCATTTTTGACACGTCTGTTTTGCCCTCGCAGTCTAGAAAACGGCATTAATCAAACAAAGCAGACTTTATATGCGACTGTTTGCGTGGGCACGAGAAATATGTTGGCATACGGTTATGTACAACAGTGTACATCTGCATATGCGGGTTGCATGCCAGCGTGCATGCATGCATGTGAACTGTCATGGTTCCTCCTAGTGAAAACAGATGTTTTTTTTTTTTCTTAGCATCCTCCTCCATACCTTACCACTAACACTTCAAGGAGGGTCAATTACAGCACGCAACAAACATCCTGTTTTTGGCAGTCAGGCCCAGGAAGTGAGCGTTTATTGTTATTGGGCCTGAGTTTCTCACTGGATCACGGGGGGGTGGGACAAGCCAAAATGAGGAATGTGAGCCTAATTTCATGTTTCCCATTTTTGATTGTAGTTTAAACAAGTCAGTGAAAGGGAGGTGAGGAGAGAGACAAGCCAGTCTGCTCACACGTCTCACATTATTTGGTCTCGTATGTGTGTCCCAACAGAGATTCGTCTGCACGGACACTTGGACGAAACACACATCTGACATCTAAACAACCTCAAGGCTAAGTGAAACCGAAACGTATACCTTCCAAGCTCTTAATGACAGACACCCTGTACCAGATGTAATATCATAAACAAACGCATGGCAACTGCCGGCGTGTGTTAAGGTTTGCATGCATATACTGTTCTAAACAAAAGTGTACATATACTTGTAAAGACCACGTGTATCATGGCAGACTGGAGTTCCCAGTGACTCCTTTAACTCTTCATTTTCCATGATGATGTCACTGAAACACATACGATTATGTCATAAAACACAATCATGCATTCTGGTTCTTTCATACATTTATTATAGCTCTTGTGGAATTACGAAAAAATCGAATACATAGCAATTATAACTTTTGGTTTAATGTCTCTTGGTGCTTTCGGTCGTCATCCACAAGCATCTGGTTGTATCTTTAACCACTCCTCTTGTCAGCATTGGTGCAGTTCAACTAATTTTGCTGGCTGTCATACACAGATTTGTTTCTTCATCACAGTCCACAGGTTTCTGATGGGGTTTAAGTCAGGACCTTACGGAGGCCTGTCTGAAACCTGGGCTGCAAGGTGACTCGGTGGTTAGCACCATTGCCTCGCAGCAAGATGCTCGCTGGTTCGCATCCTGCTGAGGACACCCGGGAGCTTTCTGTGTGGAGTTTGTATGTTCTCCCCGTGCAGCGTGGGTTCTCTCCAGGTTCTCCCCTGCCTTCACCCAAAGTCAGCTGGGATAGGCTCTAGCCCCCTGTGACCCTAGTGAGGATTAAGCGGTGTATAGATTATGGATGGATGGATGGATGGATGGATGTCTGAAACCTTAATTCTACCCTGATTTATTTCTTCACCTTTTTTTGATGTGTGTTGGGGTTTGTTGTCTTGTTAGAAAATCCAACTGTGTCCAAGACCTTTTGGGTGATGATTTTAGGTTTTCCACAAGAAAGTAACTATCCTTCTTCATTATTCCATTTACTGAGTGTAAAGCACCAGTTCCACTGACAGCAAAACAGCCCCAGAGCATAATACTACCACCACCATGCTTGATGGTAGGCAGGCTGTTCTTAGGGTTTGGGCCTCAGCTTCTCTGCTCTGAACGTTTTTCTGGTCATTTTGGCCAAGTAGCTCAATTTTTGTTTCAACAGACCACAGAACTTTCCACCAGAATTGTCTTTGTCCATGTGATCAGCAGCAAACTTCAGTTGATCCTGAAGATGTCTTTTACAGGAAGGGCTTCCTTCCTGCACGGCAGCCTCTCAGCTCGTGGCGACGTAAAACACGCTTGACTGTTGACACTGACCTGTTTTCTAGCAGACGCTAATTGAATGGTTGATTGATTGATTGGCTGATTTTGAAAACTGTAACGGCTTTGAAATGGTTCCAATTGACTTTGCTGACTTGTTCAAGTCAATGATTTGCTTTATGGGCGTATCAAATGGGCCATAATTAAATCAGCTCAGAGAAGACAGCAGCTGTAGTAAAATTGCAATCACTTAAGTTAGAAGGACATGCCACTAAGAACATTTGAACATTGCTTTCTACATCACCAAAACAGATACTTCCAGTGGCTGTATGTATATTTTTTACCCTGCAGATTTTGTCATATTTCCAGAAGACCTATGATATATCTTTGAAAGAACCAAAATGCATGACTGATTTATGACAAAGACATGTGTTTCAATGACTCCATCACAACAAATTAGGGGTTATAAGACTCATTGGAGATTTTAGACCATTTAGATCATGCCATGATATGCATAGTGTTTACAAGTATATGTATATATGTATAACCTTGTAAGTTGATGGGTGAAAACAGACAGTTGTATGAAAATGTGTGGGCACCCCTGGCCTTTACAGGATTGCATATTTTGTTGATTTGATTGAAAAAGGATAACTAAAAATCCCTGCAGCAGCAAAAAAAAAAAAAAAAGAAAAAGAAAAAAGGCCTTAACATTAATAGTTTACCTTGGGGTTCCCAAACCTTTCCATATCATTGTAGATCCATGTTGGGACGGAGAAATAAACAGTCTACCATTGTCATTCTGTTTTCCTCTCACTCTCACACATACAAAGAGTTGCTTCAACTGTTTACAGAACTCCTCTTTCCAACACTGTAGCTCCCACAAACTCAAGACGATGGAATCAAGCGCAATCAACAGTCAGGATATTTCTGTGCATGCAGTGTTAGTAATCCATATCCATACACACCAGTGTGTTCCAATCCATCTTAATTTTTTGAGAACAGTTCCTAAACCAAAAAAGTGTCCTTCGCTATCCTGTTATGTACACAGCTCAAGTGGACCATCACTCTGGAAAAACAAGAGCGACACAACTGACAAACTTTACCTGGGTTAATTGGAGGAAAGTGGCAGGTAACTTTTGGTTTCATACTTGAGTTTCACTGACATGTATAGCTACCAAGGAGAACGCAATCAGCAACTGAGGTAAACAAGGTGCCATTCGTAAGGAGCACGCAAGGCAGTTTATCTATGCAGGCATTTGGTACAAACAATAGGTAGAAAACACGTCTACTTCAGAGACAGCTTTAGATTCTGGTCGACAGCGCTGTATCTAATTTCTGTGTTTTGACTGAGTGTTCCTGAATTGTGTAATTTTAGTGACACTTTCGATTATTTTACTGTTATCCGTACTTCTTTTAGCAGCTACAACAATTTGTTAAACAAGTTCCCATTGTGGGATAGAGAAGCAGCAGCTGCTGGCCAAGCTAAAAGACTACAACTCACCGCTGGTATTTTCTGATTGCATTGTAGTAATGACAACATCGTCTTCCATAATCAGTCATAGCAATCTATAAATCAAGAATCACATCTGACTTTTGAACTGGGCACGATCTTAAATTATATGAAGTGAGGAGTGGCCAAGGACTCAAGTGACAGAGAGTTCAGTACTTACCCAGCACAGTTAAGACTGTGTAGCACAAGCCAAATGATGTGAGATGCGGTTTAGTGCTCGCCAAATTATGTGAGATGCATGCAGAGCAAAGCCAAATGGTGTGAGTTAGCCAGGCAAAAACAGTCAATAAAGACACACCAAAAAAGCACAGGAACATATCCCAGAGCTATGCATACGAAAACAGCACAGCTACGTACCTCATAATAAATACATTTTTAAAAAAAGCAGAGCCTATATTCAATCGATTTGGTTTCACAGTTTACAAAGCATTTCAAAGTGGGGCCAAACACATATGGCGTGTGCAACGGTTTCTAATGCGAGACAGTATAATTCAGGGCAGATGAGTCAAACTTTGTACATAACAAACTCATTTAACAGCAGCAGTATATCACTAATTTATCAACACTCGTACCCACTGCCAATTCGTGCAGCAGTAAAATGCCAAAGCATAATGGCACAGCAGTCTGCACATTTCTCATCAAATGTCAAGATGAAAGACGAGACGCATTTCTTATTCGGCGGTGTCACAAGTGGATGTTAGATACTTTTCTCAGACACCTCAGATGCACTTAGATGCACATTTGATGGCAATTTCCGCTCTCTAAATACAGTACAGAGGAGTTTGGCCTTTTTCGGATTGGCCGGCACTTCCCGCCATTAATGGTGCTGCCAGAATAGTTCTTTATGAGGTAAATAAAGTACAAGATTAAAACCATTGCTTGTAAAAAGCTAAGTTTAAAACAAAGCCAGACATCTGTGTTATACAACAAACGTATCGGTTAATTAATGAATCAATTAGCCGATTAACTGATTAGCTAATGGAAGGAAATAAATCAGCAATTACTTTGATAACTGCTAACTGTTTTTTCACGAGCAAAAAAATGCAAACAGCAGTGTTCTGTTCTTGTGTTCTGTTTTTTCTCTCACTGCGAGCTGTCTCTATCGTTTGGGCTCTGATGAATAGCGATGAGGATTATTCACAATTTTATCCACTATGAAATTAAGCAGGACAATAAGGAGCAAATTAATCAACAACAAAAAGAAGTGTGAGGTTAGTTGTAGCCCTACACTGAAGTAGTTTCAAATCCTGATAGATAAAAAGATGAATTCCTCATTTAAAAAAAAAACAACCCACCAGCAGTGACTGTGCTACTTGCAGCTGGAGCTTCTGTGGTGTTGACGCTGTGTTAGTAACAGACTCCAGCAGACTGAGAACTGCCTCTTCCAGGCTGGGGAGGCAGCGATACCACAAAGAGACTGAGGCCTGCTCATCTAATGACAAGCCCTGGCTGGAAAGAGAAAAAACAGCACTGATTAATTGATATCATAGCACATTATTACAAACTGTATCTTCTGTCTGACATCACTGAATATATCACCAAACAAATTCTAGATGATATGTTTGGACACGACTCAAAAATCGGTCTCAGTGTGTCTACAATACTTCTCCCTATACACTAGTTTACTCTGGAGTGAGCAGTGAATTGAGATTTCTGACAGCTATCATCATTTTTACATCCATTGTGTTCATGGGACTCCACACCTAAGTCCGGTAGTGTCGCCTTACCTTGAGCAGGAAGAACCCAGGGCGTCCAGGAAGTTTTCGCTGAGAGCTTCTTTGACACAAGTCACTGGCCGCTGTAGTAACGCACCGACGAGAGGAGAAGCCTCGGGACAAGCGATGAGGTGAACGCAAGCCTCTGATGTAGCCAGAATACTGTCACACGAACACCTGCATGGAATAAGTCATGTTCATTTTTATGCTTAACATGAAAAGGAGCCGTATTATGAAGACAGATAAGACAGGAATCCATTCATCTGGTGGACCTTAATGTGTTTGATCCTTTCCAGAAAAATGTGTTATATCTGTACTTTAAACGCCTTATCTGGTTCAAATAGACTTCAGCTTGTACATGAAGAATGGTGCACGCATACCGACACTACTTCCCACTTTGCAAGCTTATTATAACACTGTGAGTTAACAATCTGCTGTTAAAGTCGATTTCCACCAGAGCTGTAGTGATACATTCACGAATATTGTGATTACAACCTTTTTAAATGGAGGAATTTGCTGATTTTCTCTGTTTTATTTCACTGCTCGATTATTATTTTGGGGTTCTGGTCTGTCAAAAAAACACATGAAGACATTACCTCTTCTGGGAAACTGTGACGGCTGCTTTTTGTCACGGCTGCTATTTCTTGACATTTCATGTACCAATAAAAATCTACAAAATAATTAGCAGATTAATTATTTATGAATGTAATCACTGCAGCTCTGGTTTCCACTGGGACTGCGTGACAGTTATGTTTACCTCTGATTAATGCCGCTCAGAGAACAGCAGCTCTTTCTGATGGTTTCCTGCTGCAGCGCCACCATCTGAAACGCAGCAAATAGTGCAATTTAACAGTCAGTATTGGTGAGAATTAAACCAACAGAAATGCAAAGACAATACCTTTGCCAGGACTTTGAGGTGGTACTCTTGAGCTGGTACACCCATGCGCTTCGTTAGCGCCTGTGCTACATCATCGTCTTCCTCTGTGGCGAGCTGACACAACACTTTCTGTGGGAGAGCAGCAGAATATTAGTGCTTTATGTGTATATCTATAAAAGTGGACAGGACTTTGATACAATCTGCCCCCAAAATCCCAAGATCCATAACATCAAAGCTAATGAGTTACTGGAATATAGGATGACTCTGTTTACATCATTTGAACCACATGAGTGGAGAAAAGGTATTCCGGTAAGTGAGAATGTATGGACAGCATATGAGCGACTTCACAAACGAACGTTCTTTGTTACAGAGAGCCGTGGTGTTTTACAAGAATTTTTTAAAAGGGGCCTCATCATACACTGATAAACTAGACTAATAAACTCAGCTGATTCGCGTCTGTGAGAAACGCTAGTCATAACGAAGGAACAAAGAGAGGGAACACGGCGCTCGAACTGTAAGCAATAATGTTTCAGCGTCGGCTCTCGAAACATTTTCAAAAAGAAAAAAACAGAGGCTGTGAAAATGGATGTTTTTTTTCTCAGCAAATAAAATAAATATGTTGCGGCAGGCGAAGGGTTGAGACACATTGGCTTGCCTTACTTTCAGTATTGTCAAAAAACCAAAAATATTGCCACACAGCACTCAGTGGTGTAATGATTAATATACTGAATGTTTGACAAGAATTTTCTTCATTATAATTCAATCCGATGTGCTATGAAAACCCCAAAACCTATAACATTAAATTAGGGATTGATTTAAACCTTAGAAACAATCTTCTCCATTTGACCACCGAGTTGACTCACTGGCACAAGATGGAGAGCGAGATCCAACAGAAACAACCGAGGCTTCACATCTTAAGCGCACATCTGTTTTTACAACTGCGATGAACCGAAAGCACTGAAACGTCCACACCACTAAGAGTAGACTAAAAAAGTACAAATCCCCTTTCAGACTACAGATAAATGGGGGCTCAACGAGAGACGAGAAGAAAAAGAGATCGAGAGAGGCGCAATTTGTCGAAAAAGAGGGCAAAAAACATGAAGAGAGAAAAGAAAAAAACAAAACATCCAAGGCAGGGGAGTGCTGCAGTGCTGTTCGTGGAGCTGTGTGGTTTCTTTGGCCAGGCCCTACAGCACGCTAAGATGCTTACCCTCCACATAGTCTCACAAAACAACCCCAATCACTACCATCTGAGAGCCCTCAAACCCTGCACATTGAATGCACACAAAACCAATCACACTTATCCCACCCCTGGTAAGGAGGCTCAGCGGGGCTGGGGGGATGAGAGGGGAAGGAAGAAGGAAATATCAGAGAGAGACTGGAACGCGCTACGATGGCTGCATTTGGGGAAAAAAAAGGGTGTGGTCACCGGAGGAATGGGATGAAGGGCAAACGGATAGATGGATGGCAAATACTTTAGGTCAAAAGTCATCTTTCTCACAGAAAACAACGACCGAGTTGGCTCTGGGGACACGGACAGGCTGCTGCCATAGAAATTATCCCTCCATAAATCTAAAATTAAAACAGAGGATGTAGAAAAATGCACAAGGCAAAGAGTTGGGTTGTTTTTGATGGGTGTCTGTTAACAATTACTAAGCTATGATTGAATTCTCCCAAAACCAGCGAAAGACTCAAGTATAGCCTCAGATGGTCAAAACAGCGAAGACAAAAAAACAAAAAAAGGAGATGAAATGAAGGATAACAGGCTGATCAGAGAAAACAGTAAAGTTAGAAGCAGTTGTGTTCAAAACTGGTGCACTGGTTGCTCAGATTTAATAATAGAAACACTTTTTTTCCCCCACTAAAAACAAAAGGACCAATACATAATGTTTGACCCCATAAATTTGAAGATGCTCTTGAGTGTTATTCAGCCACATAACACTGATGTAAACAGCCTTTCAACGGTGTGACAAAACACTCATAATTTGATTTAGTTTTGCTTAGTATTAGCTCTTGGGAGTGACAGCAGTTTTCAATTCACTGTCTCGTTTTTTGATTGGAGCCATTTTTTTTTCTTCTTTCTTTTACATCTGGGTCATAAATTGTGCTTTAAAATGAAAAGCAAAGCAAAAATGTTAGATTTGAATGCAAAGTCTGAAAGTAATTATTAGAAATGGCATCACAGTCGTGTTTCTTCAAGCTTGGGAGATTAAAGGGATAGTGGGAGATTTTGAAAAACTTTGTTGAAAGCTAGTTTAGAAGTTCCTTAACATCATAATTAATCAAAAATATATATAAATACTAAATGTATGCATCCACTCAGCATGTGTGCAGCCTGTATCGTCATTTTATATTCCCGCTTGCGTACGGAGACAACAAAAAAAAGATGAGAAATAAGAACATTCCTCAAAATTTAAAAGCAAATATAAAAGATGATTTCAGTCGGTCGGGCAGTGACACCCAAGAAGAATCAGAAAGATAAAAGGGGGAGCGTTATTGTGATAAAAACCACTTCCATCTTCAAATAAACACACAGCGAGACGAGCAGCCAACTTGCACCAATAAGTAAGAGATATGTTTTCGAACTAAAAAGCAGCCACAGTGGCTCCAGGGGTCTACCTGTGGTTCGCCTTGTTGGAGTCACTGCACTATGGTGACTCGACACATCAAAGATTAAGCTATCAAACGGCTCGTCCTCTCACCCTCTAATATTATGCTCTCATGCTTTTATTTATCTGTCATCTCCTCAAAGATCATGCCATGTTACTGCAGCACTGTGTGGTCCCTCTGCTGGTACAGGATGTTGAGAAACAGACCAATTGAGTTAATGACTATCTGACAGAGCCTGCAGCTATGTGGCTGTACCCAGAATTCATCAAACCCAGCGAGAACGCTCAGATGTGGAGAGCAGAAGCAGACGGGGAGGGCTGAAGCAAAAACATAAGGCATAAAAGACAAAATAGTCAATGCACTAACATGATATAATGAGAAAAATATATGTGGTTACTAACAATATATACAGTAGCAGAAAAACACATGTAATACTCAGAAACATGTGCAAGCATATGCACAAACTTACAGCAAAAAAAATGCAGAATTTAGGTGCCACTTAGCACCAGACCCTCAGTTTATTATGGAAGCAGTGAGAAAACAATGTTGGGGAGCAAGATCAGACAGGGCTAACAGAAAACAGGCTGCATTCTGCATTCCAGGACAGGCAGCCCAACACAACGCAGACGCAGGCAGAGACACAGAGGCAGAGACAGACTATCTCTGGCCTAAAACCATACATCTGCCCTGCTCCCCCAGACGGGCTGAGCTGTGGTGGAAAAGGCTTTTTTGTGCTTCCCGCCATTGCTGTCATTTGTGGTAAGTGGAAGCTTCTTTGGGGGACAAGGGAAAGACAATAAGGAGAAGCTGCAGAGGTGGTTGTGAGTTTATTGTACTTGCGCTCTGACTTTTTCCAACGAGCGCACCGTTAGTGTGGAGTACATGCTCGCAATTTTAGCACAAATGGCTCCAGTGAACTTGACTCTGGTCGAATAAGCAGCATGCAGTATGAAATGCTGAAAATACAGCACCTACTGGAGTGTGATTTTAAACTTCTAGCAAGAATAGTACAGCAATTAGCTATTAATATTAATATTGATGGGTGCCGCTATAGCTCACCTGGTTGAGCTGGCGCCCATGTACAGGGGCTACAGTCCCCGAGGCGGAGGTCATGAGTTCGAATCCCGCTCATGGCCCTTTTCAGCAGGTCCTTCCCCAATTCCTCTCCCCAACTTTCCTGTCTCTCTCTCAACTGCACTCTTAAATAAAGGCAAAAAGGCCAAAAAAAAATCCACTATTATTGATTAATCAGTCAGTTTGTCTCTTGATTAATCAATTAATCCTTTCGCCTATAAAATTCCAGAAAACAGTCAAACCTTGTAAGGTCATAGTCGCATCTTAAAAAGTCTTGTTATGTCTGACCAACAGTAAAAAAAAACAAAAAAAAACACAGATATTGGATTTACTGTCACAGAATGCTAAGGGAACCACAAGATATCCAAATTTCTGAAACTAGAACAACTGAATTCGTGGACATTTTTACTTAAAAATGACTTGATTCAAGTATCAATCCTATTATTAGCTCATCAAATCACCATTTCACTCTACATCAATGCAACTGTTCATCAGAAAAGACGTAACCAAGCACTTATATCGAACCTATTTAACCCTAACCAAATCTCATTCTACACACACACGTCATATACACAAAACATGCCCACACAAAAGCACGCGGACGCAAACACCACCGCGCACACATGCACTCCGCTTCCCCTCTCGTGGGTCAAAGACCATCTGGCAAATTCAAGGTTTACTTTCAAGGCCCTGTTTTAATTAGCAAGATGTTTTATTAGATGAGAAATTAATCAAAAGAATACAAACACACAGTTAATCTGGCAAAAATGTGAAGGTTCCACATTGTTTATCATAAGCCATCTGTGTGAACCCTCTCAGAGTTGAAGATTGCAGAATGTTTTCTTCCCTCTGTTCTCTTTCCCTCCTTTGTGTGTGCGCGCCGCCTTGAGAACACACAGTGAGCGCGATCAGCTCGCGATAATATAAAGGCTGATCATTCTCTGGTGACAAGAGGCAGTGACACAGTCAATTTTAATTTGCTTTCAAAAATAAGTTTTACAGTTTGGCGCACGAAAGGCTCAGGCTAACGGAGGCCCGGACTGCTTCATTCGTCATCCACGTCCAAATGGAGAGGCAAGACAGAGAGCTGGCGAGCAAACTCCTATTAAAGTAAATTAGACAGAAAATCCCTTTAGCAGCCTAAAGGCAGTCAAAGACAAGTTTCTTTCAAGAATATTAAAAGAATAATGTGTAACTGCCAAAATAATATGTATGTCAAGTCTGTCCAGAAATAATTAGGACATAAAGAGCAAATAAATTTGGCCCAAAAATGACAAAATAGACGAACAACTAAGCACAACTAATATCCATCCATAAATGTTCTAGATACTGTTAAGTTTCTGTCTCCAGCGTATCTAAATGATGACTGAAGTCTAACGATAATGAAGCCAAATACAGTCCATTAAAAGTTTCTAAATCAGCTGGACAAGTAATTAAACTTGTGAATTTGGCTTTTTTGTTTTTTCAGACACACATTGTCCAAAAATGAAATAAGAAGCTACATAAAGCCAAACAAGCCGATGTCTAGCTTTGACCAAAACATTGTTTATAATCTTTTCAGACTTTCCAAAGCAAAGAATGTACTTCATTGCTTCTGTCTGCAGCAACAAGGAGAAGCACCACAAGTTGGCACTGATAGCTTGGTCCCATTCATAATCTTGTTAAGTTGGTATTTAAAACGATAACTCCTGATTCACGTAATTATTTACGAAAAGTTCTTGTGCAGCTGTTTTGAGTCCAGAAAAATGTATTTTAGACATTTTAGCATGAGGTAACAAAAAACAAAAACCAAAGATCATCACATGCCATAACTGAAGTATTCTATTCAGACTGGTATCAAAATACAGTCGTGACTCGATAATCCAACACTAAATGTAAAACCACTGTCAAGACGGAGATACAAGGAGGTCTTGATGCTTGAAGGCTCATTTGTTGTTAATACTTATTGTTTATAGTTGCTATAATAACTAGTGTATTGTTAGAACACTACGCATTGCTGGATTTCACGCCTAACCGACTGGTGCACTTGTGCACAGTTGACATCAAAGGTAAATACGTTCAGACAGCAGGTTGAAGTGACCCAAATCCGATTTTTTTTCTCCTATGCCACCTGTATCTGGGAGCGCTCCGATGGGGTGGAAGTGGCTGGAACGTACAGGCAGTACTTGGCTACTGATGCTAGTTTAGTTAGTGGTCATAGTTCTGTTTCTACCATCGGTGGCAGCAGCGGGGAAGTGGCAAATACGCTCCACTGTTACCATCTGTATTTACTTCAGTAAACACTGAGCACGCTCGCGGCGTGTGACGTCGTTGTGTCCTCTTCTATGCACGACCGTATATAAAATAATACTCAGTCTGGCTTTTAAGCAGTATTTTTTTCACTTTTTATGAAATGACGAGCTAACAGTAAAAAGATAGCAGGATTTGAACCACGGATGCTGTAGTTTATAACTGCTGCCTCAACCACAAGGCCAACAGGCCACCCTTCCCTATTTCTACTTTAAATGGGCCCCTAAAATTCAGTTTAAACTGAAGAACAGCTGTGTAGATTAACAGTCACTGCACAGTACATGCAAAGATAAAGTGAACACAAAAGGGATTTAATTAAGGTGGTATGTAAATGCAGTCAGCATTGTAAGTTTACTGAATCTGCCTGAGTCTTTGTTGTGCACTAATCACTGTTCCCTGAGTTCTGCATTAACTGAGATTACCAGAGAGTCCGGTCCCTACCCGTATCCACTGGTTGGCTTTTCTTTCCACAGCATTGCTTGGATGCTCCGAGTACAGTCCCCAGAGGCACTGGAGCAGCAGCCTCCTGCTCGTATCTGTAGACAATACACCGCGCACATCACGTCAGAATCATTACCACCATTATTACGTCTGTCTATCGGAGAGTTTCGAAACCACCGCTGATGGAATGTAATTCGTCTAAAAGCTTTACTCACCACCCACAGTGACATAAGGGTTCCAGCACAGCCGACCCAAAAACTGGCCTAAGAGAGGCAGCTTCTTCATGGTTTCTGCCGTGGAGCTCTGAAAGACAAAGAGAATAAAAAATAATTTAATACTGTACATATTTCTAATTTTGAATACTGTAAAACCCCAATGACAGCATTTTTTTTTTTTTAATTTTACTATTTGGCACATAATCAGACACAAATATGATAAAAGTGGCGCCAGTATAACAAATACATCATCTTCCATCATTTCCCTGTATTACAGATGTTCACACCTCATCATTTATTTCATTCTCTTTTGTCTCGTTCTTTTAACCGAGCAACACTGTGTCACAACACAAAACTCCAGAAGACGCAAACAGTCCCAACTGTACCTAATGAACTGAGCCGAAAACAGGCCCGTCCACAGGTGTACAGTACATTGCTCATGCATCGCCTTTGTTTCCTGTGTTTTGGTCAGGTCACAACTCCTTCCATAGTGTCAGCAGTGAGAGATACAGAAAACAGAGCACTGTGCAGAACAGGGCTCTGGTGGAGCGTGCTATACCTGTAAGGGTTTAAGTATGTGTGCGTCTGTGCTTGTTTATCCAGCTCAAAATAAAAGACCATGTGATTTACTTCACTTAACAGCCAATTAAAACACCCAGCGAGGTTCTAAGCTACAGCAGACGGTGCTATTAAGAACTGGAACAAACTTTAATCCTGACTTCCTATTCATTTTCAGTTTTCAATTCCAATTTCCCCCGGATGATTAATGGAAAAATCAAGACATGGTTATGTGAAAAGTAAGTCTGGAGCATGTCATAGTTTTTATTATTTCGGACCATAGCTACATAGAAGGTAAGATTTACAGCTGGTGCAACTGGTACCTCAGCCGAAATAAACCCTAATAATACTTCTATTTAGCTATGACCAAACCATGCACGTTACTGTATGTTTTGCATGAATGTAATTTATTAGAGTATCTGCATCTGTGCAAGTCACAGGAAGAACACATAGGTCAAGATGGAGACTGACACCAAAGCCTTCAGTCTGAATACGAAGTTTCAAAATGATCTTTGAATCAGGATAACCGTAGATAAACAGGTGTATGATGCTCTTATTGTTCCGTCTTATTACTTTTCTGGGTTTAATACATCGACACAGAGTGCATTAGGGTTTTACGATACGATGACCGCATTGGGACGTGAAGAAAACAGATCAAAGACGTGACGCATGTCTTAAATTTGCAATCATGTCTGCACATGTGTGGATGAATCACGTGCATGTGCATGTATAGAACCACATACTATTCAACCCATATTAACAGACTATATGATACATTTCACCTCAGAGTTAATTGAACTCTACATCAAAGCTTTGATGCTGGAAAATCCTACACAGTAAAATCTGGCATATGACAATTGTAATTGAAGCAGCGTGCTATTGCTCAACCAAAGACAATTCTGCTCACTAGCATGAAACAATTTGTAGATTAAGTGAGAAGTCAAAGGACAAATGAGTATTCTGCAACACAAAACTTAATTGAAGTATGAGAGTGGACCCAGCACAGCCAGAGCAGTGTTTGGTCTCTGGTTCAGACTGAAGTAAAATGGTGACAGTGGTAGTGGACACATGGGACTCTGTACTGAATATTTTACGCTATTGAGTTTACATACATCAAAATGTAAGCATATCATCTCATGAGATACAGTATGTTGTCAGGAAGGGTCGGCAGATCTTAAACAGACACTGCACGGTCCTATAGAGGGGGAGGCGCTGAAGTGAATGGGATTAAGTTAAAGTCAGTTACAGTATCTGGCATTGTGTGATAACATCTGCTGTCCGGTATGCTAACGCAGCGCAATGACCAGTACAAAGTTATTTTCAAGTCATTTTCAGTTCCCGACATTAAACACGCACAAAGATTAAGGCACATAATTAGTCTAGAAATAAGAGATTATATGAGTGATGTGAACAACACTGCCTCTTTAGACAATGATGTTTTTTTCTTTTATAACAATATGGACATTTGTAGCAGCAAACAAACTTGTCATATTATAACAAGATACACTGGTTTGGGAAATGAATGCTAATGTCTTGTGATATAATGAGATAAAGTAAAACGTTGTTAAAACAACAGCATTTACCAATAAAAACTGGGTAAATTGGTATTTTGAAATGCCATAAGACCATGACAATTGGCTTGGAACACAGCAAAGCTTCTTCTAAGCTTCAACTAATCAATTGACTAAGAAAATAATTACCACATTAACTGACAGTGAAAATAAATGCTGTAGTCCAATGGCCACGTACACACAGGAAAAGTTGTGGTGGATCACACATGATCCTAAAATGTGGAATAACACTGACATTGTATTAGAAACAAACAGAGATAAGTTTACTGTTAAGGTTCAAAACATTTCTTTTGCATCATGTTTTCTCTTCAGGCTTGTCATCCAACCTCAGTGACATATTATATTATTACAAAATATATACTTGCACCAGTAGTCAGTACGGTATTTTAATTAATCACAGAGTCCATTGTGTCCTCAGGGAAAAATATTTCTTAGTATTTTAAGAGGAAATTTCCAAAGCACTGTTTCTTTGGAGAAAAAAAAAAGTTGAGGAAGCTTTAGGCCTTTGTGTTTAATAAGAGCATCAGACTGTCAAGGAGACCAACTTGACTCATTCGAGGGGATGAGATCACCATTAATGGGAAGCATCGTGGTAATAGGCCAAGAGGAGTTCCTCTAAATGGCCCCACACTTTGCCCAACAACACCACCAGTGTTGTCTGAAACACAGCCCTCACACTTGGACTTCCCATCAGTCCACCAGTCTGGTAAATGTTGTCCGTGTGTGTACACGTACGCATTCCTGTGTTGCTGATGCAACTAAAAAGGAATGCTCATTTACAAAAGTTAATGTACGATGTTTTGTGACTACAGGAGTGTCCATAAGAAAGAATGAAGCATGAAAAATCAAATCAACTATCACTGACTATCAGTCCAAAATCAGCATGAAACCCTTGTCAACATTGTCCCTAATTATGATCAGGTTTTGAGCCCATGTGTCTTGTTTTGATTAGGGACAGACATCTCAGACAGAAGTGACTGATTAAGTACTGGCTAAGGAGCCAAATAGGATAACTTTATAGACAACAATAAAGAGAACAGTGAGGTAACACCTCTGTCTCTGTCATCACTGAGCCACAAGCAGATGTAGGCTTGGGTATAAGTCCTGGGCTCCTCCTGGGCTTAGCACCACCCAAGACAACTGTGATTGGTTTTAAGAAATACAAACAAGCTATCGTGTTTGTCCCCTATAGCAGAATGATGACAAGGAGCAGCCAGACGATACTGCTGCAGCACTGTGGAGATTGGCCTGATTGTAGTCTTGCATAGCCAGAGAATAATCCCAAGAATGTATCGCTGAATATCCAACATCCCATCAATCTTTCTTTAATGCTGCAGGATTTTTTGATCATTTCCTTTGAGGAGTGATGTAATGCTACATCTGTCGTGTAACAACTATATTAAAAAGGGGGACCTGACACGCCGTACAACAGTATAGCAGGTGTTCATAGATAAACACTTTTTGGATAGGGATAGCTCTACAACTGGGAGAACGTGCTTGTTATTGCACTTGTTGAGACACAAGATGAGAATCAATACCACTCACACATCTGTTCTTTTAATACAAAGCTGAAGACAGAGGCATGGCTGAGCTCAGTATTAAGACTAAAAACAGGGCGAAGCCGCTAGCCTGGCTCCTTCCAAACTGCAATTATCAGCACCCCCACAGCTGACGATCTCCTTTATATAATCCTCATAAAAAAACCGAGAAGTAAAAATGTCAATTTGTGATTATACAGGAAGGCACAGTGACTTTCTGAGATGTCCACCGGTTGCCAGGCAACCTCCCAGTTATAGTACGACTCCCAGAAGTTACTACATCTGGCCTAGAAACAGGCCGGCACGTACCGCACTGCAACACGGCAAACTGTCATTTTCTTTTTACACTTCAGTGTTTGTACAGTTTGAACTCATGAGATACAGCACAGCAAAGCTGTAGAGGTACTTGCAGGTAGATTTAGTTTCATACAGAGTGGACGGATGTGTGTAAGTGGTATTAATCTATTCTATTAAGAACGACAATAGTGATATTAAAAAATGTCCTCCACTGTTCTCACCAAGTGTAAACCTGGAAATTAACAATAACTACGTGTATTTCTCATTTTAGGCCATAAACCACAGGAAAGTTGTAAAGTCATCAAAGGATGCAAAATGCTGCCAAGAAGCAGGCTATCCTCAGCTGGTCTTTTATGAGTCCACTGCCAGTAAAAAGGATTTCAACCCAATTAAGCTATACCATTCTTTTTCTTTGTGTCTTTCTTTGTATGCGCTCCATCACTCTACACACACTGACACCTCTGCATGACGCACAGCCAGAATAATGCTAACAGAAAAAGAGACAGACAAAGAAAAAAATAATAGCCTCTCCGTGCTTGATCTATAAAAATATACGGCCAGTTGCCAAAGCAAAGAGGAAGTCGAAAGTAAGGCAGACAGACAGAAACACTGGGACTGATTCTAACCATTACAAAAGTGCTACAGTAAAACATATGGAGTGTAGAACATCACAAATTAAAACTTGCGACGGCGCCATGACTGCAGGACGAACAAGAAAAAGATTCCTTATGTGAGAAAAAGAATATAAAAAATGGTTAGGGAAAGCAGCGAGACAGAGAGGCCTGAGGAGAAAAAGCTGGAACGAGGAGGTATGACCACAGCAACTCTGAGATCTCACAGTACTGCAGCCCTCCTGTCCTCTGCCCCCTTCCCAAATTTGCTGGACCTGATATGTGGATACATTAGGTTAGCGCTGGAGGTCCCAATGCGGCTATTACCTGACTAACTCAACATTGCAGCGCTGCCAGCCAGACATACACAGCCCTCTGCACAGCACAGAGCAGCTTCTGTTAGCGGGACCGTACCAACGCTGGGCTCACTGTTCAAACCCTGGCTCGGACCGAGAGCGAGCGTGTGCATGTTTGGGCATGTGTACCAGACTTGCTCATGTTTGAATTAACTTAGTGCTCCATAAATCAGACGACTGCTTGGCTGTTCAGCCTAATTGATTAACTGTTCTAATTTATTTCATTGGGCAAGGTGTGATGAGCCAGTAAAAGAGGCGTCTGAGTGGATACAGAGCATTTAATTAGACCTAACAGGCATCTAGGATATATAGTGTAGGAGCACTGCTGTCTGAATTTGTCAAGAACATAAATCTCAGAGCTACACTTGCAATGTAACAGAGTTCACACGGTACTGGCTGTGGGGATACAGGCTCATCTTTTCGCTCCATGTGCTTACCACGTTGTTGATGTGTGTGAGAAGTTGCTGGAGGAAATCCCTCAGTCTGTTCAAGTGCAGGCAGGTGTCTTTCTGAGTGTCTGGACTGTCGGCCTGGCCCCAAGCCACTGCTTTGTCCAGCCAGAACTGCATCTCCTGGACATTTAACAAGGGCTCTGCTGTTTGTTGGGGCTGGCTCAGTGGCTGCAGCTCAGACATTTGGCTGCTTGTCCAGGCAAATTTACTTGGGAGCTAGGCGAGATCCTAGGAAAGATAAACAAGCAGACTATTGTCAGATCCAAGGATTACACAGAATGCATCTTATCATCTGTTCTTTATCATTTTGATTTTGTGGGTATTAGGGCCAAGCATTGGCAACATTTTTACATTTGATATCCTGGCTTTATATAATGATTCCAAATAACACATAACAACATGATGATGACTCTTTGGAGTTTTTTGAACACTTTTAGGAATATGGAGCACTTTTTATGACTGGTTCCTGCTTGATTTGTATCATGCACATGTGCAAAACTGATGTGCATGTCCAGGAGCAATATGATTAACACTCCTCTTGTCTGTTTCACACTATTTTACTGACCATTGTCTATAAAGGCTGTGCATGGTTCAAAATATGTGCAACATAAAATATGCGCTTTGCAAATGCTTTGTGGAATGGAATGCATCAAAGACATTGGTTTGTCCGCAAGGATGCACACAATGTGTTCTGGTTAGAAAGCTTGAATAAAAGCAGAATTTTAGTTTGTTTACAAGAAAACTCGACAGGGCACAACCAACTCATGAGACGAGATGTGCCTGAATAGTAAAATAACAAAAATACAAACAAACAATGGACCAACAGTCCAAACCCCAAAGATACTCAGTTTTCTATGACATAAGCCAAAGAAAAGCATGAAAATCATCATTTGAATTTTTCTAATCTTGAAATAAGACTTGAAAGTCATCAGCAAACACATTCTCACCCTGTAAGCCCAACTGAAACTGGATTTACTAAGAAATAATTTTGAGCTATAAATAAAAGTACAAAACTGAAGCAACTAAATAACTCTTAAAACAGAATTTAAAAAAAGAAATGGACAAATATGGGTAAAAGCGCAACTTATAAAACATTTTTTAAAGAAAATCTCTTTACATATCTGTCAGAATATACACTATTCCAAATATATAATATAAACCAGTGTCACTTATGAACCTGTCAATGTAACTGCTGGGCTTTACTCTAATATGTGCATGTGTGGTCCACATGATACACGACTTTCTATGAGAGCATAGGTGGCTAATACAATAATAAGTGCATTAATAATAAGCTGAAAATAAAGTGAGGCAAAGTGTGTTCATCTAGTTATGTTAACCTCTTATTACCACAATCTAATGATCAAACTTTTAAGCTCCCGGCGATAAAGCCTTCTCTCACACATTCACGACAGCCTACTGAGAAATAAACAGTACATTCTTCGCCTTTTATGAAGACGGAGAGAAAAACGTGGGGGGCAGATCATGAGCGTGTGTGTGAGGATGTGTTTCATGTCTGTATATAGCCTGAGAATGGTGTGTGTGTGTGTGTGTGTGTGTGTGTGTTTGTTGTTTTTTGCCATAATGACAGGTCTGTGTGGGACACCACAGGGTTGTGTTTTATGATCACCTCGTTACACACGATTTGTTTAATGTCTTGCCATCATCTCTGCTGGAAAGCCCCTATGGCTCGCTGATGTGAATATATAAATACTCATTTTCGAGGAGGAAAAAAGCCAAACCAAATTAGGAACAAACGCCTCTTATTGACTTGTGTCTTAGGGGCTCTGTTTTTAGTAAAGCAGAGGTGCAAAAGAAGTACATGCTGAATACATAAGTACCAGACAGTCTCACCCACAATCACTGACACACAGACAGCTACATGCACATACCCAGGCACAAATACACTCCGAGCAGTTGGTGCAAACGCATGTCACACAGGCAGAGAAAATATGTACATGCACAAACACACTCGTCAGCAGCTCTGGTGTTGGCTGAACACATTATGGAGCAGGAACGAGATGTGACTGGTCAAATATTATCTTTGAAGATTTGTTAAACTAAGCTTGTGGACTTTGGGTTTCGCTGAGTTTGCTGTTCCAATTATAAGATTGTTGACTTTATTTCAGTATAATCAAATCAGTTAAACATCACTTTCTGCAAATTTACTTCTGTATGCTTCAGTATGTTATATTTAAGAACACCTGGATTAAATGACACTAATGTATGGGCTGTCTCAATCATAGTCACAAAAGGATCAGTTATCTTTGACCACTTCAGACTAATGTAATAATACATTTCTTCATTGTTTTGAAAAAAAGGCATTCATGGAAGAACATGATGGGTCACTAAATGGTTTGATTCGTACAGAAATTGAGAATCATATGGTATTATTTTCCTACTCAGTATATCTCATGCAACTATTAAACATATAACACCTTTTTTGGCGATTTTGGATAAAACTGTTCTGCAAGTGAACCGCCCCAGCAGTTTGCAACAACCCCACAACCTCACCAACTAACCCCTTACTGATGATTATTGTTATTACTAATTACTAATTACTCATCAATGGCTTAGTTCACAAAGTGTCATAAATCTGCACAAAAATACTTACAACTTAGCCAGTAAATGAATGCACTTTCATCACTGAACAATCAGCTTGTTCAGTGTCTTGATTAGACAAATAAACACTTGCACAATTTTCAACAGCCTTTACATTGCTTGCTTTGTCAGGCAAAAATATTAAAATAATCAGTTTAAGACAAAGAACACTATCAAATCATAATTTTAAAAAGCTGGAAACTGAGAGTGCCTGGCATTTATCCCTGGGAAACTACTTCATGTATTAAATTATTAAAACAGCTGCAGATTCATTTTCAGTCAATCAACAAATTCAACAAATAATTTTAGCTCAACTAATCCCAACTTCCCAAGTGACAAATCAATAATTAAATAGCTGCTTCAAGCACAAAACTTTTTCTCACAAAGGGTGTTTTAGAAAGGATGAGACAGAAACTGGTGATGTACTTCTGAGCAGCTGAAGCAAGTCTATTTGGACCCCTCAGAAATAGTACCTTTGCTGATCCCAGTCTCAATCATAAACCCTCTAAGACACACAGAGAATTGGGTGCGTGTGTGTGTGTGTGTGTGTGTGTGTATTAAAACATAACAAAGAAAACGCACATTAAAAAAATGCGGCTTTGTAAAGAGAAAAGTGAAAAATAGTGAATTTACCTGGTAGTTTCCACACACGTTCAGCTAAACGTGCAATTACTACACCACACCACAGGATGCCAGTGTTTCCTCCACTCTGCTTTATTGAGTTACACACGTCAGTTCAATGTAAAGATATATTTTTTAAAAACTCGAAAGAACAACTTCAGTATGTCAGTCGGTGTATGTTACAGTTCCGTGAATGAAAAACATTAGAACTCATCTTCACTCTTCTTCGCCAGGAGCAAAGCTATTAGCTTGTTAGCAACTTAATACCGCTATATTCGCACAACTGTAGGCTACGGCGGCTTCAAATTTGGACTTACGTGTAAATGGGAAACGCGCAGTCACTAAGTTGACAAGTGCACAGAGCAGAAGTCACCTATATTCATTCATTCTCCGTGTCTTCACTCAAGTAGACGAGCTTTTCGTCCCGCGATGTAAACAAACTGAACTTCCCTCTTCCACCGGGGTTCCGTGAATGAACGAAGCTGATTGGCTGAGAGCCGCGTCATCCGCTGACGTACTTCTAGCACTGCCTGCTGGGAAATTGAGTCCCAATCCTGGCTGCAAATTTTAAATGTAGGGTATAAATGTTAGTCATTGCACGGGCCTTTTGAGTTTTTCACACTCTTATTTTTTTAAAATGTTTATCATATTAACATCATTATCTTGTCATGATTGAAATACGTTTGGTGATAAACACCTTAGTGCACTCATCAGTGTGTTGACAGAGTACAAAGCCAGCAAGTTAAGATTTCAATTTTCAGTTTCATTATGAAAGAAATTAGATATGAAGAGAGCCTCTGATCTTCTGAGAGTTTGCTCCCATGCATATAAAGTTAAGGATAAGACATTAAATATTTGATAAGATAAGACAGTAAAGATTTATGTTCATGGAAAACATGCATCTTGGGAATACAATCTTCTGTTGTGCTAGAGATATAAAGAGCACACCACAAGCTAGGGCATCACAAAATATCAATGTGAAAGTTTTAAGGCTGATTACTGGTATATTAGTAACAACAGACTTACTCTTAGTCCATTTGTTTACACTGTAAATTCAAAGACAGCACACAATGGATACAGAAGTGGTTATTTTGAAAGACGTGCAGGAATATTATTTTGTAATTATTTGACTATGATCAGCTGGCATTTCATGTGTATTAGTTGTTGTATCTCAAATGTTCAGAGATCAGTGTGGCTGAACTGGTTTAGTCTGCTTCTGTCATTTTCTCTACGATTTTCAAACAGTAATGAAAAAAGTGATGGAATTATTACATTAGAACTTTGTCATTTTGTAAGAATTTTACAATTTGATATAGTTGACCTGGTTTTGCAGATAAATCTGTTCTATGCTCATTAGCAGTTCAAGGGTTAAGAGGAGTTACGGATCGCCTGGAACAATGACTGCGCTGTGTGTCTGTAATGTGAAAACATATACCTATTCCGTGCATATGCTTATGTTCTCATCTAAGTGAGTGTTTGCATTTGTGTCATACATTTCAGGGGTGAGGGTCCAGAGGGTGAAGCAGAGTGCATACCATGGCCAGGAATTCAGGGGTCCCAGAGCATGTCCCTCTGGAACCCAAAGCAAACTTTGAGAGGTTCCCGGCCTGCATGGCTCGAACTGACAAATCACCCAGAGGCTCCAGCCAGACCCAGAGCAGCCTCACACGCTGCACCAGGAAACGGTTGTTTTAACATACGTAATGCCATGTGTGTGAGTTTGTGCCTCTATGTGTGTGTGTGTGTGCACCCGCATACGTGCATAAACGTGTGGATGAGAAAGGGATTACACACAAGCAAAATGTGGGTATTTGAACTGCACATGCACACATGCGTACACACACACATACTTTGTTTTGTGTATCTCACAAGAATGCACTTCTTGTGCATGTGTCTGCGTGTGGTCAAGTGGCTGTTAATGCGAGCTTTTACCACGTGAATACTGCTGAATATATAGTACGAGTACAAGCCACGGTATGTACTGTATGTTAGATGGGGAATGTGTTTAACGTGGTGTAGTGGCTCTACATTAAACTTCAGAATTTCTGTGGTAGGAAAGCCAGGCGTGTGCATGTATAAGTTAGTGGGAATGTGTGTGTGTGTGCAGGTGTGTGCACGCATGGCGGGTGTATGTGAGCGTGTGCTGGTTCTCCTCTTGTAGCTGGTGCTCGTGGCCTGCTTCCCAAATAGCACTAAAAGAACACTGAAATTGTCTGTGCAGGCTTTTACTTTCACTTGCTTGCTACAATGTCAGCCAGTGTATACTAGAAAGAAGGTGCAAGCTGCAGGACCTGGGCCATTCACACCATTATCTGACATTATTAATCATATATGAAGTCAAATAAGTCATGAGTTAATGGAACATTTCACACTCAAGAGACAGCTTGTCATCAGGTGTTCCTTATACCGGTGACTCTCAGTCCCTAACTGAGGCACGTATACACACTCTGAACTGTATTTTTAGACATTATATTTACACATATCAAAGTTTTTTCTGATGTTTGAGTTCCATCACATAAACTACATACGTTAGGGTCCGTAAATGTCCAGTAAAAGCAGGAGTGGAAATCATAAGCTGCTCGCCCAAGTTCACCATCAGCTCCACCCTGGTTGCCTTCTTGGGCCAACATGTAGGTCAACCAGGGCTAGATCACTCCACGTGCCGGGTGCTCTGTATGTGTGTGTGTGTGTGTGTGTGCGCGTATGTGTGTCTAAGCCTTGTAAAAACATCAGCATATGGTTTTGGAACCAAGTCCTTGGCAATACTCGAAAAAACGAGAGAGAAGGAAAGAAAAACCACGGCAAAAACTTGAGAGAGTGTGGTTTGATGCCCAAAGTGGAAACCCACACACTGATGTTTTTGTGTGTGTGTGTATGCATGTGTTTGTGTATGTGTGTGTTTGCCCTTGTGGCTGCGCATGTGTGTTGCTGTGCCTATGCTTGCATGGGCACACATATGGATGTTAGGAGAAATGTAGTGTAAACCACGTGTGTTTTTACTGTACTGCTACTCTGTGATTATTATAGAGCCAGGAGACGGGTTGTCACGCAGCGGGGCAGCAGCTCATCCACATGTCTGTCTCTGTGTGTGTGTGTGTTTACATATGTGTATATATGCTTTCATGCTTGGAGTGGAGACCGGATCACAGCCAGCAAATTGGCATTGCCAAATGGGCAACTGTACTCGTAGGCTGGTAATTCAATGTCCAGCCACAGCTTTTGATTTTAAAAGAAACTGAACACTGAGCTATTAACTTTGTCTGGGATGTACATGTTGAATAAAAGACAAAGAGTGAATTAAACAGGCAGAAAAATATCAAATTAATAAGATTATTGCAGAGGTTTTAGCTTTTCCCAATCACAGGTGCACCATCTCACTTCTGGTGTGAAACTCATTTAGTTCCATTGGATCATTTAGAACAGCATTAAGAACTCAAAATGTCTCTTGTCCAAACCGTAATGTTGGAAGCCATCATTATTTTTCATCTGAGGATTATAAATCTAACTAATACCCCAGTTAAAAAACACCAACTATAATTAGATCTTGGGGAAAACACAAATCAAGTGATCACTAATTGTTGAAGAACAGCTGTTTTGTTTTTTTTGTTGCTATTTTTTATTTATTTTTTTTGACCTTGTGGTTTGGCCAGAGGGAGATGGAGCCGGGCGGAGAGGTTGGGTATCAGGCTCTGGACCACGTCCCGGGTTCACTGAGACTAGGAGCTGCACAGCTGCTGACAAATTTGTCTGTTCTGATCCAGACCAATCTTATTACTAGTTCTGGTCCAGACCAAAGCCATTACCAACCTGGCTCTGTCGCTGTGGCCCTATATGACCTGATGCATGTCTCTTTGCACTGTTCAACAATGCTGCTCTGTTTAATGGCCTGTGCGCTGCATGCATGACTTCTGCTGTAGACCACAAGAGGAAAATGTGAGCGCTGTGATAAGGAGCATTAAGCTCAGTTTGCATGATCTTTGTTTTATTTATTTATTTGTTTTTTATTTCATCTAATGCTGTGTTTTTCCAAAGCACACCATCTGGCGCACAAAACCTACTTTTTCCCTCTGTTTTCTTTTCTATTTTTTCTTTTCTTTTCTTTTCTTTTTGCACACATGAGTATGAACATGTTAATGTATGCAGGCTTTCACAAAATTATATTGGTAAGGCTTAATTGTTATGCCAGTCAACTTGATAATATAAAAACAGAAACACAAGACAACAGCCGTACATCACGATGCATCGGAGGTTGTTCTTTTTGCCTTCTTTATAATTTCTGCCATAAACTGAAGTGATGAATCATATAATAGTTTTTGTTGCTGCAGCACCTATCAGAGCTGAAAAGCTTTAAAGATGTGTGTTTTTCATTGTAAAAATGTGGAAAAGATGGTTATTTGAAACATTAATTCTTAAGATTATCCATACATCCATTATCTATACACTGCCTAATCCTCACTAGGGTCATGGGGGATGGAGTCTATCCCAGCTGACTCAGGGTGAAGGCAGGGGACACCCTGGACAGGTCACCAGTCTATCACAGGGCTACATGGAGAACCCGGAGAACCCGGAAAGAACCCACGCTGCATGGGGAGAACACGCAGAAAGATCCCGGGTGTCCTCACCAGGACACGAACCGGCGACCTTCTAGCTGTGAGGCAACGGTGCTAACCACAGAGCCACCTTGCAGCCCTTATTTATTCATTTATTTGTTTGTTTGTTTATTTATTTATTTTACTTACTTACTTATTTATCCTCAGATGTGTACATCTGTATAGTATAAGTACACTCCAATGAAATTCCTGCTGTCATCAGACGTTACAACCAGTCGGCCTCCAGTTGACCACATACAGAAAAAATTGCATATTTCACTAGTGTGCAACATCAATGCATTTAAATGTGTGCATATGAATACTTTAAGACACTGTAAAATATAAGTTTTCCACTGACAGAAGAAATTGTGCAATAGTGATTTAAAAAATCTGTGCATTATCAGTGTTTTTTAATATCAGTAGTTACTCCATATGACATGTCTTTCTTCATACAGCGTGCAGTATTGCTAGTTTCCACATGTCTATGCAATATCTGAATTTCTGCATATAGAAGAATCTGTACAATATCACGTCATATGTAGACATATTTCTACGTAGTTGCTTTTTGTTTTTTGCACCATTGCAAATTTCACCCCTGTGGGATTAAAAGAAAAAGATCTTGTCTTTCTTATCTTTAGTGTACATCATCACAACCAGGGTCTTGAACTAATTTACTCTGTCCATGCTTTACCCTAATACATAAAAGTTTGAAAAAGCTGATCTCGTGTCAGCTGCCAGTAAGACGGAGCCACATGAATCCCACCAGCCACACCGCATT